TCTTACATATGACACTCCTGTTAATAAATCCCAGAAACGTATCCTTTTTTTGCAGCTGCTTCATATTGTTGACTCATTCGATTTGTGATCCACTAAAGCCCCCAGATTCTTTAAAGCCAGTTATTCCCCACTGTGGTCGTGTGCATTTAATTTTTATGTCCTAAGTGAAGTACATTGCACTTCTGTTTATTGAATTATATCTTGTACTGTTCAGATCAGTTCTCTTATTTAAGGTTGTTTTACATTCTAATCCTGTCCTCCAAGTTTTTGCAACCCTACCCCCAGTTCGATGTCCTCTGAACATTTTGTAAGCATACTTTCTTCATCGAGGGGTGTCCCTGTGGGTGCTCCATTCAGGTCTCGGTGTGTCCTTGCGCTGCTGATGGGAGGTTTTTAGTGAGCAGTGCCCCTCATGCCGCGCCTACGCACTCTGTGTCTCATGCTCCTGCCACTTGCTGAGTGCGCATGAGGCGTGAATCCCCTCAGTTCCTTTTCTACCGTCCTCAGCTGAAGACGGAGTCAGAGCAATGCTCTTCTTTCTGACAGGAAAAACAAAGGAATACCATAGTTAGTCTCAAAATTCTTCAGTTTAGTCAGTTAACGACAGTTTTCAACGTTTACTTAAAAAAGAAAAAAACCCGCCGCCACGGCTTTTTTCCATCAACATGCCGGGTTTCCCCGGCTTTAAAAGATGCAACTCATGCTGGGACTTGATGCCTATTTCTGGTAGGCATGCCTCCTGCGTTAAATGCCTGGGAGAGACTCATGCAGCACATAAGTGCCCACATTGTCAGAATATGACAGCCAGAGCCAGAAAAGACCATGAAATGTGCTCAAAAACCTCTCTTGGAAAAGTCCCTACAATCTCCATCGGACAAATCTGAGGAGACCCGGGGACAGCAAAAGCCCGTTGACAGGGCTGCCTCACCACCCTGTAAAGGCTCACAGGTTTTGTGGGCTCCCCCGGCATGCTTATTACCAGCACTGCCTCAAGCCTTCTGTTCCCCGGTGCTGTCAGTCTCCAGAAGCCAAGTCTGCACCAGCCAGGAGAGCTGAGTCAGAACGTAAGCACTCTGCACCAGTCAGTGCTGATGAGGCAGTGGCACCTACAAAGCCACATATGCCACCACCTCCGGCTCCCACAGGCACCTCTACAATGCCTGAACAAGCCATTCCTGGTCAGCCCGAACTCGACTGCACGCCATAAAAAAGCGTTTGCAACGCTTCCTCTTCAGAACGGTCTTTGATATAGCACTTTCTTTGCAGGAGGTTGGAGGCCCTCAGAGACAAAACAAATTCTGAAGGTCTCACGGTTGTGGCGAAAGAGGCCATGTTTTCTCAGTATTTCCACAATCTCTAAAACACGCATTCTTGGAACGAGATGACCTCTTCTCTGTGGTACTTGGACTTCCAGAGATGGTAGAGGTTGCTGATACAGTGGTTTTTCCATCTCTCTTCTGGGCAGGTCACCCTACCACAGAATGTGACTCCTTTGATTAAATCCACTCTTGGGGAGGTCCTTTGTCCTCCCATTCCAATTGGTAGAGGGTAATGGGAGGATTCTTAGAGAGGTCACATGATACCCTTTTCTTCCAATCACGTGTCTATCTTGACCCTAGAATAATACCCCATCGATCACCCAGACAGCTCAGGAGGTGCAGCCACCATTGATTGATGGTAGATCTCATCTGCTACTGTTATAACTCTGTTATTCGCTACATGCTTATAAACTGATTATTTAGTAATTTGTGCCAGTATCTTTTCAGGTACCAATGTTAGGCTTGCTATCTGGTCTATAATTACCCTAGACCACTTCATTCCCTTTCTTTTGAGGCTGCTCAAATACTATATAATGGACACTAGTAAATAGAATCCAACTTCTTCTGTGAATAGTCAGTGCTACAGCTGATGGTTAATGAATGATTTATTAAAAATAAACTTAATAAAATTCAAATGTTACATTCTCTTGATTTAATATTGTTTCAGAGAACATTCCTACCAGTAATTGCATTCCCTAATAAATAGGGCCCTGACACATTCATGGCCATGAAAAATGTGTCCCAGACTGTAAAATCTGTGGTCTCCCATTAATCTGGTCTTTTGTGTACTTTTAACCTATACTATACAGATTTCACCAGGGAGAGCAGTGTTTCTCAAACTGGGGGTTCTGACTCAGAAAGGGATTGCATTGGAAGAGGATTGCACGGTGATTGTAGGAGGGTCACAGTACTGCCGCCTTTACTTCTGTGTTACCTTCGCTACTGGGTGGCCAGAGAACAGATTTAAGGGTGGCAATACCATACTATTCCACTCTTACTTCTGTGTTGCTGCCTTTGGGTACATCTAGACTACATTCTTTTTTTGAAAGGAGATATGCAAATTCAGTGCTAATTTGCATATCTTCTGATCGCTTTTTCAAAATCAGTTTTTTTGAAAAAGAAAGCAGTGTAGATGTAGTTCTTTTGGAAAAAAAACCCCGCTTTTTCGAATGAATCCTTTTTCGTCAAAAAATGAGATGTGCAGTGTTCTTTCGAAAAAGGGTGTTTTTTTTTAAAGAACCGTGTCTAAACTGCTTTTTTTTTCAAAAAAAAAGCTTTCAAAAAAGCCGTCGGAAGAAGATACGTAAATTAGTGCTGAATTTCCATATCTCCTTTCGAAAAAGAACGTAGTCTAGATGTACCCATAAGAGCTGGACTACTGGAAAGTAGCAGCTGCTGGCCAAGGTCCCAACTCTGAAGGCAGCAGAAGTAAGGGTGTCACTACCATACCATGCTATCCTTACTTCTGCTGGTGGCAACACAACCCGTAGAGTTGCCAGATTTAAATATCTGAAATATCTAAATCCCTGAAATGTCAGATTTAAATATCTGAAATTATGAGATTTGCAATTAAAAAAAAAAATTATGGCCATGAAATTGACCAAAACAGGCCCTACCAATTTCATGGTCCAAAAGATAAAACTAAGAAAAATAAATAATTAAGGGCCATGATTGCTACTGCAAGTAGAGATCTGGCACTTAGATGGTCTGAATTAGTGTAACTCTATTGATTATACGTGTTTTGTTAGTCTATAAAGTACTATCAGACCATTTGTTGTTTTTTTCTGTACAGACTAACTTGGCTACCCCCGGAAGCTTGTTTATACCAGTTTAGGATGTAAAAATTTGTTTTAAAATCCATGGAATAGCAAGAATGAAACTTAATAGACTTAATTCAAATTCAGTTAAGAAAAGATGAATTCAGATGATCTCTACCTACAATATTGCAGGAGTGAAGTAGGCTGTGACATTACTAAATGCGCATATACAGTGATTAGCTCAAATATAGTGTGTCAAATACAGACCCTACTGAGAATATTGGGCCATTGCTAAGGTGACTTTTTTGTACCTTCTTTTTGTTTTAACATTTCACATGCTGTGCTAAAACCCAGTGTGCAAAATTGCATGAACTACATCACTTTCTGCTATTATGCTAAGGGATTGGGGGAGGGGGAATGTGAAATTGCCACTAAGGTGCTTAATCATGTGCCTGTTACAGAAGAGAAAGAACAATGGACCTTTATTTTTTATCACTAGGCACAGTCAGAGAAACTTGAGAAGGGGAAAAGGCTGCGAGTAGCAGTTATATCTAGTATTTCCTATGGCAATGGCTCATGGCCAGGCTCAGGAGATGTTGCTTTGCCTTTGCCAGTCTGTTTGTATAGGAACTGTCATTTGTCTCCTCTATTGAGGAAGAGCTCCACCTGAGTCTTACCAGTCCCATTATCCATGTTGCAGTAGCCTCCATAGGACATGAAAATAAGAAGGGACATGACTTTCTTGAGACCTTCCTAATGGATTTCTTGTAGGTTTATATAGCATTGCTTTGAGATGTGCACTACAATTCAGTTCCCAACGGATTGGTAGTGAAGCATCCTCTCATGTTCCCTTGGAGGTTCAGATGGAATGAACTGCAGCTCATTTGCTCCAAGGCCCTGTAGTCTTCAGCCACTCTTCTTGCCACTGAAGGCCAAGGAAGGCTCAGCAATTTCTCCAGCTGCTCTGAAACCAATAGAAGTTAAGAATTTAAATACCTTTGAGGATGTGGGCCTTGATGACTATCTCCCCAGGTCTCCTGGAACTATTCTGTGATTGCTAACTCTAGCATGGCCTTCTAGGGCTTCTTCATTGTGAGCTTCTGTTCTCACATGCTATAAATAGATTTGTAAGGATTAAATTTTTGTCAGCAATATTTCCTTTGATGATAGAAGTTTACAGAGAGGCAAAGAAAGAACATTGCTTTTGGAGAATTTATTATAGCTCAGTTTAAGGATATTTACTTAATATATTTTGACATGATATTGATAATTTGTAGTTTAATAGTTCGAATGCTTTCTCTCTTGAACCTCAATATTTGTCTTTAAACAATGGTCTATTTAAACATGTAAAGCATTATTTACATGTTGCTAAGTGGGTGTGAACCCAGATGAATCAAAGCATGTAATAAATAACTTAAGAGTTAAGTGTGTATATTGATGTATCATACATGTTGAAGAGGTAGGGGAAAAGTGTAAATTATATGCATTGTAGAGTTCTATATATATATATTTTTAGACTCACTTAGGGTCTGTTCTGACTTCCATTTAATTTTAGATTTACTTCCATGGTTTTTGGACTTGTGTCCCTATCTTTGGAACGTGCTGAACAGCCACTCTCTGAAATTCAGCGCCCTCTTAATGTGTCTTAAGAAGAGTATTCTAAAATGGAGATGTATGGAATCCCATAGCACTTTTTTGAAAAATCTTGTTGTATTCATATTCTAAGTCAAAGGTACACCTCTGAAGGTTGATATAAACAGATCTTCCTCAGAACTACCCCATGCCATATCATTCATCTTCTAATCTGTCATTTAAACACTAGAAACATCAAACCAGCTCCCCCCCCCCGACAGCTTATTGCTAGTCTCTCAAAAACCCAACAGAGAGATTCTCTGGCATTGAATTCCCTTTTCTTGTTTTTCAGATGGGTTCCTATCTTGTTAATGCAACATTCCAATCCAAAATAACAGAAGGGGCAGATATTATTGTTGGAATGCTTTACGCAGTGTTTGGTAAGTATGTTTTGGTGGTAAGTATGTTTTAGAGCTCTCCCTGCATTGTTTCATTATTCTGATTTTATGTTCCAAAGGTTTGATGAGAATTAAAGAGCTTTAATGTTTGATGAGAGCTTTTGAAAATGGAGATTATTACTGACACTAATTACTTCAGCGTTTTCATAACAATAAAACAGAAGAATTGATCTAATTACAATTTTTCATAAAAAGAAAGTACCCATTCCATTTTAATCAACTATAATAGTTTGACAATAAAAACCACGTTAACTTTGGAAGTAATTAAGTAATTAAATATTGTTTGGTTGGTTACCAATATTACAGTTGAAAATTTTAAATTGACAAAAATCAATTCTTACTATAACTGTGACCTTGAGCCTATCCATTTACACATCCTTGTTACAAATCAGCATATCTCTATTGGTCTGAGTGGAATCAACTTCTACCAGCTGAGGTTCTGGACAGGACCATTTTATATTTCTGGGTCTGCTGTTAATATTGAATTCTTAAATCCCACTTCAGCATCTAAATCCAGCAATTGCAAACCCCTGAACACATGAAGAATCACAGCAAAGTCATTGACATTCCTCATGGGCACCATATCCCATTTAAGTAAATCCAGATGCAGGATTAGAGCCTCTTACATGAGTGTAATGGATCATGATTCACTGCTGTAGCACCTCCTGCTGGTCACTCTGGGAATTAGCTCAAGCTAACTTCCAAAGCGCCGTGTTCTAGACAATGTCTCACCTGCTGTCGTCACCCTTTGTCCATTCTCCACTGACTTGTATCAAGGACCCGCATCCCTCCCAGAATGCAGTAGTGCCCTTCCCTCAGGCTTCTGCCCCCCAGAAGTGATATCTCACTCTGGGGTTCTCTCCCTCAGGGAACTCCAACCCCCTATATCCACCTTGCCTCAGTGACCAACTGCCAGTCATCATCTATCCACTGCCTCAGGGGAAAACTGCAGTCTGAAATGGTTACTCATCAAAGGCAAAGGGGTGAGGACCTGTTTCCTTCACCAGCCCTGGCTGCTTTCCTGCAGCCTAGTACCCCTCAGGCCTCTTTCACTGGGCCTCAACCTGGGGTTATTCAAACTGGAGCTCACCATGCTTTCTCTCAGCACTGTTCTATCCATGGTACCTCACAGACAGGCAGCTAGGTCCTTCGCCCTCCAGAGCTGGAGGGAGTATATGTGCTCCCCTCCTCCAGGAGCCTTTCTTATAGGGCCTAGCCAAGCCCTGATTGGCCTACTGTAGCCCACATCTGATTAGCTGTCCTCCTCTCGGGGCTGTACTTATTCCTTATTTTCCTGAAGCAGGGTGACTGCCCTACTACCATGAGCAATGAAGCCAAGTTACTCCTAGAACTGTAACATTGAATTTCCTGATTTCTCAGCATCTAAAATCTCGATCATTTACTTCATTAGACTTGAGCCCAGTTATATCATTGGTGAATATGGCCTATTGAATTCCTTACAAGAAACAAAATGCATACTTGAGCTAGAAAAGGCCATATCCTTAAGTGTAGCTGAATTACATATAGCACAAATTGCAGGGAGATAGAAGAGAAAGTGGCTTAAAATCACTGTTTCAGTATTTGATACTGCTCCTTTTGTTTGTCGGGCCATTCCACCTGGCAGTTGCTTTAATTTATGAGGTCTACTGATAGCTGGGGATTAGTATGATTTAAAATAGGGCTGGGCAATAAATTGATAGGGGGCCATTTCAAGATTTTGAGAAGTGGTAGGGAGGCACTTTTGTATGGAAGAAGTACGGAGTCTAGGATAGAGGTTGGGTGCAGAAGAGAGCTTGGGGTAGAGAATTGGGGTGCAGGAGCAGGTGAAGGTTCTGAGAGGGAGTTTGGGTGAAGGAGGGGGTTATGACCTGGGGCAGAGGTTTGTGGTACAGGGCCAGGGAGGGGGTCTGGGTGCAGGAGAGGATTCTGACCTTGAGATGGCTTAGGAGGGAGTGCAGGGCTTGGGAGTGAGTTGTGATCAAGGGGAAGAGGGATGCAGAGTGTTTGGATGGTGACCCCCGACACCAACATAGTATGCAATCTGAGCGGAGACGTGTGGCATGACTGACCAACGAACTGCAATTGGAAAGAAAACTCTTTGTAGTGTGTATACCCCTGGCTTTGCAGGAACTACTTTTTGATTAGCAACCAATACATGGATCTTCCTGTTTGTTTATCAAGGGTGAAAACTAGAATTGTGTGCCGATGCTTTCATTCTGTTTCTGATGCTCTGCGTACAGATCATCATCAACAAAGCAAGGTGAAAACTTGCTCTCACAAGAAGGTGAACTGCACATGGAAACTGTGAAAATTCCATCTACTTCAGCAGTATATATTGTGTCCCCATCTCCCACCTTTACCTACAGAGGCATTCAGCAAGGTGTATTGCCTACTAACTTTTTTATTTTTCCTTTCAGACCCCATGATAGTCAACCCTGCTCAGATCACTGGCTTCAGGGTGACTTTCCAGCATGCACTATGTCAGCACGTAATGTCACAGCTGCTGCAGGACATTGTAAAAGAAAGGAACCAGCCTATTGGGCAGGGAGGTGTCAGGTAAGTTATTGTTAAAAGAAGTACAATGCAGCTTTTATGTTAGATGTAATTTTGTAATTTATTAAGTCCCTGCCTCCCTTCACAATTTAATAATGAAAGAACTAACAACAAAGCTGACCTTCCCCAATACCATAGGCTAGCTCCCTGCTCCAGCAGAGTCCTAAAGCAGTTGTGATATCCACATGGTGCATGCTGGGACATCATATCAGAGCTTGAGCTGGTAATCCAAACAGGGCTGGGTGCCGTGGGACCTTGAAAGCAGACAGAAAAGGTGAGTTGTTGTTGTTATGGAGCCAAGTGCTGACCATACTAATTAGACCCGCTACTGAGAACACTCAAGTATTACTAACGTGGATGGAATTTTCATGTGCTAGTTGCAATCCATGTTGATAAGTGAGAGTAATTCTAATGTTTAAATTCCCATGCCTTCAATGGCCTCATATGATTTCATACTCTCAGATCACGACTCCTATAGAGAGATTATGTCTAATCAACCAAATATTTGGTAGAACTGGTGGAAAATATGGAAAAATGATTTCACAATAAGTGTATACTTTCAAAGTGGGGATGTGAACGGTTAACCGGTTACATGGTAAGCATCACCCTTACTGGGTAACGCTTACTGGTAACCAGTTAACCGGCAGCCCTATGGAGCCAGGGGCTGGAAACTGGCAGCCCTGTGAGGCTGATTGCTGGGAGCCTTGCTGGGTTGGGAGCTGGCAGTCAGCAGACCCCTAGGACCAATGGATGGGGGCGGGGGGAAGGTGCTCCAGCCCAAAGTGGCTCCTTCACCCATGGAATCCTGCTTAATCAGTTAACCGGTTAAATTAACCTTGTTAAATGTTACATTGATTAAACGGGATTTTACATCCCCATTTCAAAGGTGTTCCCATTCTGTAAGATTTGAATCAAACTTGGTTGCAAAATATATTTTAAAATGTTGACATTTTTAATTTTAGTTCCCTCCTGCTTAGTCATTAAATGAATGATACCCAGTTTTTTCTTCATTTTTTCATTTCTCTTCTTTTTTGTGTTTCCTTCTTCCACTCTAAGTTTTTAAAAGTTGAAGAATGCTTCAAAGTCTGCAGAGTGGCAAAAGGAATTTCATTTAAAATGAAAAAGGCCAGTATGTATTAAGTGACTCAGGGTATGTCTACATTACAAAGTTAATTCGAACTAACAGACGTTAGTTCGAATTAACTTTGATAGGCGCTACACATACAAACCGCTAGTTCGAACTTAATTTGAACTAGTGGAGCGCTTAATTCGAACTAGGTAAACCTCATTCCACGAGGACTAACGCCTAGTTCGAATTAAGGGCTGTGTAGCCATTTAATTCGAACTAGTGGGAGGCTAGCCCTGCCCCGCTTTCCCTGGGGGCCACTCTGGGCACCACCAGGGAAACTCTTCTGCCTCCCTCCCGGCCCCGGAACCCTTAAAGGGGCATGGGCTGGCTACGGTGCCCGTGCCAAGTGCAAGCCTGCCAGCACCCAGCCAGCAGACCCTGCACCTGGCACGGCTCGAGCCAGCCATCCAATGCCACCCAGCCCTCCGCCTCTTCCTGGGACCAGGCTGGCGGCTCCCGGGAGCCTGCCCGGGTCCACAAGAGGCGGGCGCCCGCCTGGTCTAGTGCGGACATTGTGGCCCTCATCCATGACCTCCGCACTAGGCACAGGAAAGTGGCCGTCTAGGGCAGGATAGCTGCCAGCCTGGCAACCCAGGAGCAGGTGTGCATGAAAATCAGAGTGGTCCAGTGAGACTCCCGACCCTGACCCCTGAGCTTAGACTGGCCGTAATGGGTCAGACCAAAGGTCCATCTAGCCCAATAGCCTGTTTGCCGACAGTGGCCAACACTAGGGACCCTGGAGGGGGTGGACCGAAACAATGACCAAGCCATTTGTCTCGTGCCATCCATCTCCAGCCTTCCACAAACAGAGGCCAGGGACACCATTCCTACCCCTTGGCTAATACCACTCCATGGACCCAACCTCCGTGACTTTATCTCACTTCCCTTTAAACTCTGTTCTAGTTCTAGCCTTCACAACCTCCTGCAGCAAGGAGTTCCACGGGTTGACTATTTGCTTTGTGAAGAAGAACTTTCGCATATTAGTTTGAATCCTGCTACCCATTCATTTCATTTGGTGTCCTCTAGTCCTTCTGTTATGGGAACTAATGAAGAACTTTTCTTTATGCACCCTCTCCACACCACTCATGCTTTTATAGACCTCTATCCTATCCCCCCTCAGTCTCCTTTTTTCTAAGCTGAGAAGTCCCAATCTCTTTAGCCTCTCTTCATATGGGACCTATTCCAAACCCCTGATCATTTTAGTTGCCCTCCCCTCTCCCACTCTCTCTCTCTTCCTCTCTCCCACCTCCTTTTCCCAGTCTCCCCGAGTTTTGTTCAATAAAGAGAGTTTCTGTTTTTGAACACACGTGTCCTTTATTTTGTACATCAGGAGGGGGGCTAGGGAGGGGTAAGTGGAAGGGAGTGAGGGAGGAATGGGGTACGAGCCCCCGATGGGGAGGACTGGGGTGGTTCTGCGGGCTCCTCGGGGTGGAAGCTCACCTGCAGCCCCCCGAATGGCCGCCCTCCCCGGATGGCAGCCTGCGGCAAGTGCAGCCGGGCTGGTGGCTGAGTGCTGTGATGTGCCCAGTGTGGGCATTCAGGGCATTCCAAGCCAGGACTGCTTTGCTGTCCCTCATTGAGTTAGACAAGCGAGCGGGGAACCCCTGAGAACTGTCTGTCCGGGGTGGGGGTCGGGTCTCTTTAACCACAGCCCTCGGCTAGTCTGAGACAGCAGCTCCACGCTCTAAGTCCTAATCTGATGCGCTGCCGGCACTGCTTCCGGCCATCCTTAACCCCGGTTCAGGGTCCGCTCAATGTGGACATGCTAGTTCGAATTAGCAAAACGCTAAATCGAACTAGTTTTTAGGTTTAGATGCACTAGTTCGAATTAGCTTAGTTCGAATTAACTATTTCGAATTAAGTTAGTTCGAATTAGTGCTGTAGTGTAGACATACCCTCATATTAGTGTTCATTCAGTGCTTTTAGTGAGGGGGGAAAAAGCAGGGTGGGTGCAGATTGGCAATGCAACATAATGGTGAAAAATAAGCAAAATGTTTAAAGCAGTTTTAAAAAAGTTTTCAATTTAGAAAAACAACAACACTTTTGCATAAAAATAGTTTTGAACAGAATCTTTTGACCAGCTAAACATTACTTCAATTAGACTAGATCTGAGAAAGTTCAATCCCTCTTCTCTTTCTTTTCAAAAAATTTGCCATCCTCAGACACCTGGGATGCTTTTAAAAAGTTTGGTACTTACAACAATTCCATGTTAATCAAAATAGCAGTATAGCCTGTGTAGTCCTTCAAGTGAAAGCAAGATAATTTGTGGAGAACACTTGAAAAAATACTGAAAGGAGGGGGGGAAATTAAATCTAACTAGATGAGTAAACAAAAGGGTACATTAAGTGAAGGAAAGCATTTTACTGCTATGCTGAAAGGTCAATACTGGGTTTTAGTATTAGGATTTGAATACATGGCTTTTTAACCTAGCTAGTCAGCATGCTACTAGTTGAGTCATACTTTTTCTTTACATCTATAAGAACTAGGCTTTATCCTACACTTTCAGAGTTAGAGAGCAAATTAATATTCTTTCCCCATACTCATGTTGGAATGTTAGAAATAGTGTATTATCTACTAGAACTATATGAAGTCCTAATAAAATCAACTTTTTATTTGGAGATAATAGATCATTTAATTTCATTTTTCCATTATATATTTTATATCCTTAATCATTATTGCAACTGAGTCTTAAATAAAGCATTCCTAGGAAGATGTACCAAATAAGGACTATGAAGTGTTAAAAACTTTTTTAGTTGAATTAATTTCATCATAGGAAAACATAAACACTGAATAGGTTGGCAATACATTACTCCTTGCAAAGATTGTTACAATTGAAAAACCAATAAATGAGAGTAATGAATTTCTCTTTTTATTTTATATTCCCTTATAGGAGTTTGCTCCTTGTGTGGAAACAGTATTCTTCTGTATGTTTCCTATAAGAAAAAGAATTTGCTAAAACCAGCAGAATTCTTCATAATCAACCTTGCCATCAGTGACCTTGGTATGACTCTGACCTTGTACCCTCTAGCTGTTACATCCAGCCTTTCTCACAGGTTTGTTCAATATGTACATGGTATTTAACATCCTCTGCACAAACTGGAGGTCTCTGCCAGCAGAGAGGACTGAATTATTCTGCCATTTTTGTAGAAAGGACAGGGAAGATTAATTACAGAGATTGAAGAAAATGTATGTTATGTAAATACATCTTTGGAGCTGCTGCATCTCATTCTCCACTAAGGCCTTGTTCACACACACGCTTGTTTACACACTGAGCCTAAAAGTGTTGCAGAGGAAGAGGAATGAGGAGACTTAAATTTTTAGCAGCTAGTGCCAGAGAGAAAGGGGCAAACAGTTTGGTAGAAAGTGGCTGAATTGAACAGCTTCTCTTTTCTTCTACCCTTCCCTCAAAAATGGGAACAGACAACAATTTTCTTAATGGTACTAAGATATTCTGTAAGAATGTCCTCCTTCAGTTAACTGCTGACCAAGCTTTAGTTTTAAATGGTAAATGTCAACATTTTCATAATGACCACTACAAGTCACTTTCTACCATCTACCTATAAATTAGAAGAATGCTGACTTTTAAATCTTGACTCTTGTTTTTGTTTTGTTTTTAGGTGGCTGTACGGTAAACAAGTTTGCTTGTTCTATGCATTTTGTGGTGTACTTTTTGGGATCTGCAGTTTGACAACATTAACATTACTTAGCACTGTGTGCTGCCTCAAAATTTGTTTCCCAGCTTATGGTAAGTTAACTTCATTCTCTCTCAGACTGTTCAATATTTGTCTTTTGAGCTAAGACTGCCAATGGCTAGTATGTGTATCTTGGAGAATGTTTATATAGAAAGGTGTGTTACAATAATTGTTTGATTATAAATCTAGTTTATTATATCTGAACCCACATAAGCTGAGGTAAAAGACTCAGAAAAGGACCATGATGTAACTCTTTAAATGGAGCAAGGTAGGATTAAGTTAATATTGTTTTTATGAATAATTTTATACAATGATCTTTGACTTGAGACAGGTGTGAGCAGCATTTCAGTACTTTAAATTTGCTGTAAATTGTAGAGATGCATACTATATACTTTTGACCTTGTCAGATATTTTCTTTCAACTTCTTTTGTTCATCTGCTCAAGTTCTTTCTTTATTACCTCACTTCTTAGGATAAGAGGAATGTCAAAAGAAAAATGCAGCATCACATTTTATTACTATACGAAGAATGACTTTAAAAATCTGGTATCTTGTTGCAGACTGGAACTTTAGGCAGAAAAGATCATGTGTGAATCATATTTTACCATGAGGTCAAACTGTCCTTGTGGTTTTTAAATATTCTTGCTTTTGTGCTAAAATCTTACCTGGTAACTTTTAACTTAGAAGAAGATTTTTAAATCCCTGAAGATGTAGCATTGCAAGAAAAATGCATATGATTGTAGTAAGTGTAGTCATGCAAATGGTGTCAACAGAACTACTTACTCTTAGCGAGATACATTTTCCAGCTCAAAGATGGCTTTCTCTTGAATCAAGACACACATCAACTAACAGTATCTTTGTTTGTTTTTTGCCTGTGCACAGTGTAGGATTGTTTAAAGAAATTATAACTGTGAGGGTTCAATAATTAATGTGAAAGTATGTTGAAAATGCAACACCCAGTTAAGCATATTCTTAAAGTCTTACCATCATCTAAACTGGAAAATGGCAGCTATAAACATTTTAAAGCATGGATTATGAACTCTGACCTACAAATACTTCGCACTACTTGTATGGGACAAAACATTTAGTAGAATCTCTCTAGATGAAGGCCCTTTTTAAGTTTGAAATCAGGGTGGTAATTCTTTAGATTCATTAGTGTTAACATTATATTTAAAAAAAGAACTAGATAAATGCATGGAGGATAGGCCTATTAATAGTTCTTAGCAAAGATAGGTATGGATGGTGTCCCTAGCCTCTCTTTGCCACAAGCTGGGAATGAGTGACAGGGAATGATAACTTAAGTACATGCTCTGTTCATGCCCATTAGGGGATCTGGAATTGGCTACTGTCAGCAGACAGAATACTGGGCTAGATGGACCGTTCTTATACTGCAAACCATTCTAAGATGGAACACGTTTTGAATCTGCAGGGAGCCAGATCTTTAGCTGTGACTGAGGAGCACACAGCACTGGTTGCAGGAACAAGGGTGTAAGACAACCATGAAACTCCCCTTTGCAATCGACTCTCACTTCCTCAGTTCAGTATTAATTTGTTTCCCACTGTGAATCCAAGCAGCCTGTTTTCATCTTAAGGTGACAAGGTTGATTTCTTGAATGTTTCCTTGAATATTTCCTTTAATTTTTTATGCTTCTACAAAAAATGTCAATTAAATTTCAGCGAAGATTTCTTATTTATATCATGATTTCCTGGCACAGCTTTTTCTCAAGCTGTCTCTTTAACCTCCTTTTGGCCAGAAGCGTACATCTAGGTGAATGAAGCGGGACCTGAAACATCTTGTCTCTGCAGCCCACCCAACATGTGACTATTTAGTGTTCAGAATATTACAAACTCACTTCATGGTGTCTTTGGTTTGAAATCAAGCAGGGGCCTTTATGATTATTTATTCAAATTGAGGTAATACAGAGAAGCCCTAGAATTATTGGACTAGAATCCCATTGTGGTAAGTGCTATACAGAAAATGAAAACCAATCCTTCCCCAAAGAATTTGCAGCCTAAAATTAAGACACATAAAAACAGGGAGAGAGACACATACAGGGAGCACAAGGCAACAATGAGCTAATATTAACCAGCATGATCGACAGGGATCTAAGCTCATCCGCTGCTTACCTCTTAAAGCATCACAACAGAGAGAGGATTTAATAGGAGGGAAGACAATCGGATAGCTTTGGGGGACTCCTCTCAAGCATGGGGGTAAAGAGTTGTAATCCAGAGTGCCCAATAAAAAAAGGTCCTATGTATTGTTTTCTGGCTTGTGTAATTAGAATCCATTACGCTACTGCTACTATGAGCAGTTCTTCACTGATTGTTCCATGTCTTCCAGGAAACAGATTTACACGACAACATGGATGGATCTTGATAGCCTGCGCTTGGGCCTATGCAGCAATTTTTGCCTGCTCACCTCTAGCTCACTGGGGAAAATATGGAGCAGAACCCTATGGGACAGCATGTTGCATTGACTGGCATTTCTCAAATGCAAACACAGTGGCAATGTCTTACACCGTGGCTCTCTTTGTCTTCTGCTTTATCCTCCCCTGTGGGGTAATTGTTACGTCCTATACCCTCATTCTGATAACTGTCAAAGAATCCAGAAAAGCAGTGGAACAGCATGTCTCAGGTCCCACCAGGATGAGCAACGTGCAGGCTATTACAGTCAAGGTATTTGAAAATTTGTGTTCTCAAGCCACATCGTGCATACACTGGCAGCACCATTTAGAGCGGTTGAAGGACCCCTAGAGAGGAATGAGAAAGGAAAGAAGATCAGTCCCCATTTGTTTCTGGAACAAGCATGTAGTGTTACCATGTGTGTATTCACTACATGCAAATGAATTATTTTTGCGAAATCCCTCAAGTGATAGCTCTGAGGTTTCTGCAGGCTCTGGTAACAAAGATAATGTAGAAGTTTTAGTAGAGTTTTGTGAAAATATCAGGCATTTTTTCTTTAACATTCTAGATATTTTATAAGCTATTTTGGAAGAGTAGGATTTCTTTGGAAAACCAGGACTGTTAAGGGAAAATTTATGCTGAATGCAATACAACTTTGAAACTTGTAATAGAAATGTATACTTCTTGTAGCATGCAAAATTGTGTACCTAAACTCGTAGTTGCCAGTTATTTGGAAGGAAGTCTTAAAAAGTTACATTTTGATCTTCTGTGTTCGGGTCATCTCTCTTTTGGCTACTAGGTCCATCTGCCTTTCTCCTTGTTTTCAGGATCCCAAATTTCACTTTCTCCCCCACATCTGTTTGCCTTTAGAATTCCGGGGCACACTTACCTTTCTACTTTCAGGAAGTTTGAAACTCAAAAGATATTCCTGACATTCCTAGTATGATATTTTATGGATGTTGTTCCAGGTGGGCTGTTTTGTACAGATGTATGTGTAGTAACATTGCATTGAGGTGTTTCTATAGCATTATCTAGATCAGTGGTTTCCAACCTTTTGTATACAACAGATTGGCAAACTCATTTTAAAACTTTTGGTGGTCTGGTACAGAAACATTTGCATATTCATTGTGGTAATTTATTTTAAGCGGCCACGTGTTATTTTACATTGCATCTGTATGCACACAATGCATATCATTCATTGGCCTTAACCTGTGTGCTGATTCCTATCCACTTAAAAACTAAACTACATTATGAATACTCAATATTAGCTTCATTTTTATTTTTCCTGTAGTTTTACCAGTGAATACAGGGTTATAAAGTAGGAAGGCTGGGCCAAACAAATAGTGAAGTATCCCTTCCCCAAATCATGTGAAGTCGAAAGGCATAAAATCATACAGCGTGGAAGATCAAAATCATGCAGGTTGCCCCCCACAGAACATCTCCAGCCCCCTCACCTCACCCCAGCTGCCTGGGTAGTGGCAGCCCCAGGTAAGCCCCAGCTACGCCACCAGGGGGTCCCCAAGCCAGCCGAGAAAGGCAAAAGCAGCTGATTCCCATTGGAAATTAATGAGAACTGGGTACCAAAGGACAGATCTACACTGAAGGTTTGCCAATACAGCTGTACCTGCATACTCACCTACTGAAGATGCAGCGTCTACTGACCAAAAATACTGGCTATTTCTGATATATTTTATACCAGTTCCACAACCCAAATTAGTTGTACCAGCAAAAATACTTTTATGCTGGTATAATTGTGTCTACACTAGGGTTTTTGGAGTATAATAATATTGTGAAGTAAAAAGGCATCCCACTCAGGAAACAATAACATGCCAGCTAAAATATTTAGGAGATTGTTGGCCTGACTCCATTTTGTGCTATTAAAAAACTCTCCCTAAAAATCCTGGGGCAGATCCTCAGCTGGCATAAATCAGTGTTAGGAGGAGGCTCCCGCTGAGTGGGGAGGGAGGAGAATGTGCTCGCCAGGGCAGTCGCCCTTCACGCGGCGCTTGGCTCCGGTGGCCCTTCGCGGCTCCAGAGCTGGAACCAGGGCTATGGTGAGGCTGCCCCATTGTTGTTATTAATATAGGGATGGGAAGGTGTAACAGGGCACAGCAGAGCCTCTGTTGGTTTTGCCTCTGATCTGCTCCAAAAATCATTCAGAGATCTTCTGGCTCAGCAATTACTGATGCAGTTTACTTATACATTAAAAACCCACCAGATATTTCTGAGGGTTTCCAGCCTGAGGGGGGCTTCTCTTTCTTGAAGCCAGAAGGTGATCACTGTCCCTCTCCTTCCTTCCTCTGAGCCATTCTATAGCCCCTAACCTAATCAGAGGGGGTAGCTGTTTCACCCCCCACTTGCTTCCTTAAATGGAGCTGGAGTGACAGAGGGCTGGCTCAGCAATTCCTTGTCAGCAACTTGTCACAGAATCACCCCATACGGAATTTATTGGCAGCCATGGGCAGCCACATGTATCTGCTAATGGCAGATTGCACGCCCTTACCCCGGCCTCACCCCATTCTCAGCACCAGGAATCAAAATGGAGACCAAAAAGTGTAAGCAGTGAAACAAACATTTAAATATTTTTCCTAGAAACCCACAGAGATGAGCCAGTGTGTTTATATTGCCTTCACTTTTTAGTTTTCTGCTATGTTATGCTTGGCCCTGGCAGTTGGGGCAGCCACCCTCCACACAGCGCTTGGCCCTGGCCTAGTGCTGCAGCCGCCGATCACGTGGCCCTGCCAGCTGGGTTGTGTGGCAGCCACTGGAGCTGGAACCAGGGCCATGGTGAAACTGCCCCACTAGGGACAGCATCAGCACACCCGACTGCTTGCTGTGCCACTCATCTGATGCTGTTTGGGGAACCCCCTCAGTGGGCGGGGCTTATTAGCAGTTGGGGGCGAGGCCTGACAGAGTTTGCAGACTGGCAGTTGAAGATCCAGAAGAAAATTAGATCACATTAAATAAATGAGAAATAGCTAAATATTGAGACCTATGCTAAGTGCTCAGGAATTGGTAGTAAAGGAAGAGAATTGCTTTTTGACAGTGGCGATGTAGGGGTAAGCAGTGGGCAACAGCCACGCTCCCAGAAGAGGCAGGGCCATGTGTAGAAGGGGTTGGGTTGGGTGCTAGCCTCAACTCCACTGGCCTTTTAGTGCTGACTAGAGTGTGCCTCTTGGGGTTCTAGTTAGGGATGTGAAGGACTAGTGGACAGGCTAGTAGACTTGTCACTTCCCCCCCTTGCTGCGTCTATCAGAAAGTGGCAGTAAAGGCGTGGGGGGAGTAGAGAGGGTACTTCAAAGAGGCAGCTGGGGCGTCCTCAAGCTGCATGTGGCGTTTCAAAGCAGCAGTACCGCGTGGAGCCCGGGATCAGCTGATCCTGGGCTCCACGCGACACTTCAAAGGTGGAGGCGCCCTATCGACTAATTGAATAGTTGATACAGAATGCTTCGATTAGTCACTTAGTCAATATTTAACATCTTTAGTTCTGAGGGGCAAATTAAAGAGCCTCTGGGTTTTGGCTGGCATTGCTACAGCAGCCCCGGGCTCTTTTGAATTGCTGAGCCCTGGGACAGTTGCTGCATTCATCTTCCTCCACTCCCACCCCCGCTGGCAGGCTGTTGATGAAGAGAATTACTGAGCATAAATAGGGCTAAATAAATGAGCTGATCAGTGCTAATGCTCTTGCAATATCCTATGAGAAGAAAAGGTTAAGAAATACATTTATATTATTAAAATATATTTTGAAAGATTCTTGCATATTGGATGCTATTGTATTTATTAGAATAAATGCAGATCAAACTGGATAAACTTTTATATATGTGGAAAAAGGTTTTGAAGTGAAATATTTTATCCCACGTATCTCACTGTTCCATATATTAAAATGGGGCTCCATTTAGTTCATTCCCATGAAATTTGTTCCTTCCCACCATATTTTGTATGTGAATTTAAACAGAAAATAAGCTATTGTTTGCAAATCTCTCTCTCTCTCTCTCTCTCTCTCTCTCTCTCTCTCTATTATGCACACACCCTACACATAAGTATAGTCCTTCTAATTAATGAAGATGAATCTGCAAACATAACCTGAGTGTAAGCAAACACAGTTGTGTCTTCTTGAAATAACAAGAAATGTGACCCGATCCATTCCTCTCAATGGGCTGTTAATTTTGAAACCTAATAATAAATCACAGGAGCTCTCCAGAAGTGCTTTTGTTCCTTTTGGATCCCCATAGCAACAGTGACTACTACTCGCCTCTTCCTCCGTTTAGCTAGTTTGTGTTAGAGCTTCCCAATACAGTATCTCCTGCCCCCTTCCTGGTATAGATTCTTTCTCCTGCCTCTTTCCTGTCACTTCATCCCATGGCCCTCCCTGACATAAGCCATACTCTCTGGTACTCTGGCAAAACTCAACATTGAAATGTGCCTCTGGAGCCTGATCAGGTCCCCATTGATGTCAGTGAGAGTTGGAGCAGGCCTATAGACCCAGATCCTGAAAGGGATTTAAGCTTCTAACTCACATTGATTTTAATAAAAAATAGGACTATGTAGCACTTTAAAGACTAACAAGATAGTTTAATAGGTGATGAGCTTTCGTGGGCCAGACCCACTTCCTCAGATCAAATAGTGGAAGAAAATTGTCACAACCATATATACCAAAGGATACAATTAAAAAAATGAACACATATGAAAAGGACAAATCAAATTTCAGAACAGAACGGAGATGGGGGGGGAGGTAAATGTCTGTGAGCTAATGATATTAGCGGTGATAATTGGGGAAGCTATCTTTGTAATGGGTAAGATAATTAGCGTCTTTATTCAAATTTGAATGTAAAGTGTCAAATTTAAGCATGAATGAACTTCTCTCCCCTCCCAGGCAAACCCGACCCCTCGGTGACCGAACCCAGTCTACCCTCCCTTCTGTCCCCCCACCTAATCCACCTTGTGCCCTCTCTTCCCTCCTAGCCAAACCCGATCTCCACCCTACCCCCTCCGTCCACGGACCCAGTCCGCTCCCCTCTCCCACCTACCCCCACTGACTGAACTCCGTCTCCTTTTCCTTTCTCTGCCAAACCCTCGTGTCCCCTCCCCACAGCATGCGCGGAAACTTCGGAATGCTCTGGGGGAGGGGTGAAAGGGACATGCGTCCTCCTGGGGATGCGCGTGGACACAGCCGGGAAACGTAACAGGCAAGGCCAGGGAAACCTCTTTCTCCCTCCCCCAAATCTCTGAGCTAGGGGCAGGTGAGGCCCCCTCCAGCGGCTCCTCAGCACCAG